GTATGTACATGTACATGTATGTGAATGCTTAAATCATATACTTATAGATACCAAGTAGCTTTCAGTATGTTAATTGTTCAATACATGTCATGTACTATACATTCAACTATTAGTAGTAAAAGTTGTCATGTTTCGGAGCAGTAACTGAAACAGCTAGTCCTGTTTTAATTAATAGTGATTATGAGACATTCCATTTTTAATTATACGTGTAGGTGGAATATTATGATCATAGAAAAAAATAGTAAGAATAATCATAGTTTTAAAATAACTGTCCCTCAATCAATATTTAATGACATTGTATACATGTATGTACACATACATACACATACATTTACATGTGTGTACATTGTAGTTACATGTACATGTATGTATCTATGCCCACCTACATACAAGTATAAAAGTGGTTAGAATACAGTACATGTACATGTACATGTACACTCGAGTAAACTAAATTCAGACATAAAGTTTATGACTAACCATCATAATAGACGAGTGCCCCACACAACCGATTCTTCTGTAGCATAGGGAACTCCTCCATTGCTTTGGCTTTGGATACATAAAATGAAGATTTGACCAGTTTCTTTCCAGAGACAAAATCATAAAGCTTGATACCACACCAGAAATAAGGAACCTGCCACCAGCTACACAACAAAACATATACAAAACATGATAAAAAATATAATTATCAATCATTAAATCCCCTCTGACTATGACACATTGTAGTGTTTATCAACATGATGGACTAAATGCGTGACATTATTAATTGAAATATGATATACACACGTACATTTTAGATAATGCAGTTCTCATTCCATTACTTATAATGATAATAGTATTGAATTAGACACGAGTGTGTGCAGACTGCACAGATGATACTATGCAGAACGTTTGAGCTGATTTCGACTTAAATTTTTAAAGTTATGACCATTTTTAAAACTGGCCAATTTCTGAAAAAATCCATGCCCATGGTTTTTTCCAAAAAATGGCTCAAAAATTACTCCCAATTTTTATTAAATTTTCTGATACGTATTGATGTACTTAAGCTATGTAGAAAGTTTGAGCAGATTACGACTTTAACTTTTCAAGTTATGAGCATAATGATTTGTACATGTACTGTACATTTAATACAAGAAAGAAATAAAACAAGGAGCAAACAAAGCAATAAGAAATATGAATAAATACATGTACATGTATATTACCCTTCAATATTACATGTATAGTGCATGTAGAAATATAATTGTACATATATGTACATGTACAATGGTGCTAACAGTAATAACAATTAATGATAACAATAGTAAGAACAAAATGACATCAGCAATCATTATCACAATACACTATGGCAACATAAAAAATTACACAAGTACATTACCTGTATATAGGAAGCATGATTGGCAGAGGGCGAGAAAGGTGGGGGGCAATCTCTAGGAGGTTAGCCCTTTCGTGTAAAGCTTCTCTGACTAATCTGTATTGCTCCAAGTCAAATCCCATTATTGCCTTCTGTAGGTATCTGACACCACCATGGATGAGTTTAGTGCTGCGACTGCTAGT